ATGGACCGTGAGAATCCACTGGGTAAAGTTCTTAAATGACCCGCAAAACATCGGAATTTTGCACTTTTTAAAAAAATAAGTACATGTCATTTAATTTTTAAAAAATATGACTTCAAAGTATTGTGAAAATATCTCTAAGATGTCTGCAACATGATAAAATGCTTAGCTTCTCTATCTATCCCGCTTTGTTTCACACAAAAAAAAACGTAAACTGATTTAAAAATCCAACAACTAGAACTATATGATAATTTTAAACCGTATATAGATTACTGTTTGGTTTTCTTATGGGCATAAGCAAATTTTACAATGTTTCTTATTAATATAATGCCCAATAATCACTTTTACACAACACGATGTGCTTACCCAGTTTAAACCTAACAAAATCTTTTTCTACTCCATGCTAGTAAATGTTTTTTTATATTGTCCATGTATTTACAATTTATATACCATCAAAACAACGTTCGTTTCATCACAATCATTGGAATGATATTTCTATTGCTTGGTTTTAAATTACCTCATTAGAAATAGAAGAAATATTTTCTTTCAAAGATATTTCGTAACAGGTAATGTCATTGATATTTCTATTGTTTGGTTTTTAATTACCTCAGTAGCTATAGACGAAATATTTTCTTTGTAAGATATTTCGTAACAGGTAATGTCATTGATATTTCTATTTCTTGGCTTAAATTACCTCAGTAGCTATAGACGAGATATTTTCTTTGTAAGATATTTCGTAACAGGTAATCTTATTGAAGCAACATGAGGTAAACGACCGTGGAGTACTTATCTTCATCATGCTGTTGCTACAACAAAATCATGGTTAGTCATGGTTTACGGTTCGATGAACCTCGAACATGCAACTTCTGATTGATTCGATTCAAATCAGATTTCTTTTCAGGTCACGAAACTGTGGGCAAACCCGACCAGTTTTATAAACTTTTGCAATCGGGCGTTAAGGTAAAAAAAAAATTTTTGAAATCAAAGAATAAAAAGATGGTTTAGATGAGGAGAACTGGTAGAATCAGCCATACTGGTGAACTGTAAGTAGCTACATTTATGCAGCGCAACCGTTAATTTTATGTTGTTTCGTAGTTTACATTCATAATTCTATTTTAACAATAATATAACTACACACACACACATATATATATATATATATCCTTATTATATATATATATATATATCCATATTATATATATATCCATATTATATATGTGTGTATATATATTATATGTTTATATATATATATATATATATATATATATATATATATATATATATATATATATATATATATATATATATATATATGTATGTATATGTATATATCTATATCTATATCTATATATATATATATATATATATATATATATATATATATATATATATATATATATATATATATAGATAGATAGATAGATAGATAGATATATCTATCTATATATATATATATATATATATATATATATATGTATATATATATATATATATATATATATATATATATATATATATATATATATATATATGTGTGTGTGTGTGTGTGTATGTGTATGTGTGTGCTGGTGTCTGTATGAGTGTAAGCGAAGGTGTATCTGCAGTTGCTAAAGTTAATCCTATTATTTTGTCCCGTCGTTTCAACCAATGAAAAAAATGTATCTAAATAAAGAAACGGTAGTGCGCTACATTGTATTTGTTGTAGAGATGATACGTTCTTGTGTAATACATAGTTAGATTCGGAACGTGTTTTGCTTTCATGATTATCCAAAGGTGAGTTGAGCGAAGAATTTTGTGTATCTTACATGTACATAATATCTATTTAACTTAATACACGCATGCAGGTCAATCCAATTTAAAAAAAAAAAAAAAAAAAACTTCATTCCCCAGAAAATGTAATCGCTGTTTATATATTCCTATTCTTTTTTTTATTTTTAAACTGTGATTTGTATTTTAGTTAAATTTGTAATTTGTTTAACCAACTTCATCGATGTTAACTATTTATGTTTTTTTCACAGACCATCAAAAATGGGTTGCGTGGTGCGGTACCTAAGTACTACACTGGTATTTTTACTGATTTACCTGGACGAATCTGGTAGGTTTAATTACTGTATTTATTTTTTTACTCATTTACCTGGACGAATCTGGTACGTGGGTACTTTCACCATCAAATTTCCCGACCCATCTGCCCGACCCACGTTTTTTGTCATCAAATGTATGAACAGTCATCACAAGAACCTGCACAGCTCGAGGAAGCACAAAATCTACGAGCAGTCATTGGTAGATCCCCTAGGGTCGGAAGAAAAATTTATTTTCTACTTTTTAGTCCACAAGAAAAACGTGGTTTTTTAAAAAGTTTTTTTTAAGTATTTTATTTTCTCCTTTTTAGTCCGTTGCTACACATGAAAAACGTGCTTTTTTAAAAGTTTTTAAATAGTTTATTTTCTACTTTATCTAATGACTTGATTAAGTATGACTTGACTAAGTGTTTTTAAATACATAAAAACTTAGAGGATTTTTTAGGTACCCATCAGAGTTGGGTGGACTCAGGGACGGTCTACTGACTTAAACCCGGATTCGAACTCGAGACTAACGGGTTAGCAGTCCAACTCTCTACCGCTAGACCACTCCGCCACTGATAAAACCACTGAATTTTGTTTTGATAAATCTGGATTGATAATTTATTTTTGCTTTAGAAATCATGTCCTCAATTTTAGGGTCCTTGTGGCGTAATTTAATTAAGCTAATTTAGGTCTCTAATTGCTAGTTTTTATGATTGCATCTGAAATTGTTAGGCGAAAATAGCCTGCATGCCGAATTTCATATCTCTAGAGCAATCAGAAGTGGGCTAATTTTCGTTATCAATTTTAACAACAAACCCACAAACGCGAAGCTGAGTTAAGAAAAACGTGTTAAAAAAAACAATGGTGCTTACAGTGAAATAGAATATCAGACGCAAGGCAATGTATTAAGTTTAAGTGTTCTTGTGACGTTATTTTATATTTTATATTTGAAAAAAAAACATTTGTTTGAAAACTGTATAATACCTCAACGCTTTATGAATTTAAAGAAAAATTTTAAAAATTAGTTTTTTTCTCTTTTTCTTCGTTCTTAATTGTAATATTGTATATCAATTGAATGGCTTGGCAGCTTCGCTACATTTCTTAATTGGGACTTGTCTAAACCTCTTGCTCCAATACCTGGTCTCCAGCGGCTGTAGGTCTGTCTTTACATCATCTACTTATCTGAGCTCAGGCCAGCCTTGATAGTTTCCTATTCGGTTTTCATTACATACATAGATGACCAACCTATCGCAGTCTTCCTTTTTTTCTGCCACTATTTTAGAAAATTTCTTTACTTAATATCCTTCGAATAATTTGGATTTAGAAAAGAAACTTTCTTCCTCTATTTTAGTTTTGATTTATATTTTTTTGTTTACCTTGTTATGTTCAGTTTCTATTTTGTTTACCTTGTGATGTTCAGTTTATATTTTTGTTTAGCTTATTATGTTATATTTATATTTTTTGTTAATCTTAATATGTTATGTTTATATTTTTGTTTACCTTGTTATGTCATGTTTATATTTTGTTTACATTGTTATGTTATGTTTATATTTTTGTTTACTTTGTTATGTTATGTTTATTTTTGTTTACCTTGTTTTGTTATGTTTATATTTTTGTTTACCTTGTTTTGTTATGTTAATATTTTTGTTTAAGTCATGTTTATATTTTTGTTTACCTTGTTATGTCATGTTTATATTTTTGTTTACCTTGTTATGTTATGTTTATATTTTTATTTACCTTGTTTTGTTATGTTTATATTTTTGTTTACCTTGTTTTGTTATGTTTATATTTTTGTTTACCTTGTTTTGTTATGTTTATATTTTTGTTTACCTTGTTAAGTCATGTTTATATTTTTGTTTACCTTGTTATGTCATGTTTATATTTTTGTTTACTTTGTTATGTTATGTTTATTTTTGTTTACCTTGTTTTGTTATGTTTATATTTTTGTTTACCTTGTTAAGTCATGTTTATATTTTTGTTTACCTTGTTATGTCATGTTTATATTTTTGTTTACCTTGTTATGTTATGTTTATATTTTTGTTTACCTTGTCATGTTATGTTTATATTTTTGTTTACCTTGTTATGTTTATATTTTTGTTTACCTTGTTATGTTTATATTTTTGTTTACCTTGTTATGTTATGTTTATATTTTTGTTTACCTTGTTATGTTATGTTTATATTTTTGTTTACCTTGTCATCATCAGCTGCCAGACACTGTCATCACCACGGCCATCTTTGTGGCAAGAGAACAGACGTCACAGTTATTCTTGACGTGCCCTTGACATTGGGACAAGACGCGCTAAACGAGACCTTAACTTTCCTGACCAACTTGACCGATTACTTTGAGATCGGACAATCTCACGTGCTCATCAGCGTATGGACAATACGGCCAAACGTGACCCAAGCTTTCTGGTTCAACAACTACACAGACAGAACAGGCTTGAAGAGGGTATAGTTAACAACGTTTTTAAATTAAATTAAAAAAAAATTTGTACGATTTAAGTTGAAATGATTTTTTAAAATAAAAATAAAAGACAGAAAGGAAATTATTGTTCCTTATAGTGCGTATATAATTTAAAAAAAAAATTAATTAAACATGTTCTTTTAAAGAAAACACTAAATTCAATTAAAAAAAATAAACGGCATATGCAGAATTTCAAAAGATAAATCTACAGAAAAAACAAAACAAAAACAGAAACAGAAACTTCTATTTGTTGAAGTTTAAAACAAGAAAATCCCCCCCCCCCCCCCACACACACACACCAACAGCACAGTTCTGTTGGATCAAATGTGAACTCACAGCTCAAATAAAACTAAATTTAAAAAAAAAATTTACAACCTTTAAAATGCACTAAAAATAAGAAAGTAAAACAAATTTGCTTTCTTCAACAAAAGGTGTTGTCGCTGAAATATTTAACAGATCTTATGAGCGACCAAAGCTTATATGAAAGAAAGCAAATTAATTTTCTTTCATATTTTCGGTGCATTTAAAAAAATTGTTGATATAAAGGTTTTTTTTTTATTAGTTAGATTTTCTACTTTTTAGTGATTCCTAATTGATGAAGTCGACTCAACAAAAAATATTTGTTTAAAAAAAATTAGCATCTTGCGATATCTGAAAGATCTTTTTCTGCCCGTAAATGCAGCCGTCCGTGACTACAATCTACAGACAACAACAAGCGGATAAAGCAAAGGATAGTTCTTGTTACCTCCCCTTAGTTTCTAACTGTTTAAAACCTTATCTGAGATCTAATAGCCTTTACAAGATCGACCTGCTCTGCGATTGTAAACATTCTTGTGAACCACAGCTCACCAGACTGTTAGGTCGATAGTGTCTAGCTAGTTATCTCCTTCTGCTATTTCTTACAGTAATCAATCGAGATATTTAATTTTGTTCTCTCCCCCCTAGTTTCGAAACGGTTTAGTACATTTTTAATGCCTAATTAAACATGTAATTAAATTAAAATTAGATAAAATTGTATTGTCATCAAAGTGGAACGTATCGGGAAAGTATAAAAAAAATCGCTGCTAAAATCGCGGGTCAAAATTGAGTTACAAGATTTGCCACAAACCCACAAACAAACAGACGTTGCGAATAAAATAAAAGCGTGTAAAATCTGTTAGACCTGGTCATGTAACAGAGAAAAACACGCGATCACTCAATCATCACTTAACAACTACAAGTTTATTTAAATTTTAGCCATTCTTTCTTTCGAAAGTCTGTCTGTCTGTCTGTCTGTCTGTCTGTCTGTCTGTCTGTCTGTCTGTCTGTCTGTCTGTCTGTCTGTCTGTCTGTCTGTCTGTCTGTCTGTCTGTCTGTCTGTCTGTCTGTCTGTCTGTCTGTCTGTCTGTCTGTCTGTCTGTCTGCCTGCCTGCCTGCCTGCCTGCCTGCCTGCCTGCCTGCCTGCCTGCCTGCCTGCCTGCCTGCCTGCCTGCCTGTCTGCCTGCCTGTCTGTCTGTCTGTCTGTCTGTCTGTCTGTCTGTCTGTCTGTCTGTCTGTCTGTCTGTCTGTCTGTCTGTCTGTCTGTCTGTCTGTCTGTCTGTCTGCCTGCCTGCCTGCCTGCCTGCCTGCCTGCCTGCCTGCCTGCCTGCCTGCCTGCCTGCCTGCCTGCCTGCCTGTCTGTCTGTCTGTCTGTCTGTCTGTCTGTCTGTCTGTCTGTCTGTCTGTCTGTCTGTCTGTCTGTCTGTCTGTCTGTCTGTCTGTCTGTCTGTCTGTCTGTCTGTCTGTCTGTCTGTCTGTCTGTCTGTCTGTCTGTCTGTCTGTCTGTCTGTCTGTCTGTCTGTCTGTCTGTCTGTCTGTCTGTCTGTCTGTCTGTCTGTCTGTCTGTCTGTCTGTCTGTCTGTCTGTCTGTCTGTCTGTCTGTCTGTCTGTCTGTCTGTCTGTCTGTCTGTCTGTCTGTCTGTCTGTCTGTCTGTCTGTCTGTCTGTCTGTCTGTCTGTCTGTCTGTCTGTCTGTCTTTAAATAGATGTGTATGCATACATCATGATACAGTTTAAAAAAATTCTTTTAAGTGGTATTTTACTTTCCAAGGCCATCGCAAATATTGGTTCCGTCGATGCAGATAACAACAGAGCTCAAGAACTCAACTCAGCTCATTTGTTTTCCTTGAGTCAAGGCGCCAGACGGTCAGCAGCTAAACGGTTGCTACTGGTAACTGACGGGAGTTTTGTTCGAGGTAAGTATATTGTAACTAGCAAAAGGTTAGACCTTAAACAACCAAAATGATTTGATTAAGTCTTATCTGACAAATATTACTCCAGTAGAAAGTCCATAACTAACGAATGTAACTATAGAAAGTAGACCTGAAAGTCAAATGACCATAAATGATCAATTCTGCTTTAATAATGATCAATGTGACTTTCGTTAATCTTAAAGTGCCAAAGTGACTTCAGTAGGTAGACTATAATTGACCAATGTGAATTTAGTTAATAAATTTTAAATGGGTGAAAGTAGTGAATAGAACATCCTATTTTTGGTTACAAGATTGGGATCTTTTAGGATCTGTATTGCCCGAAGAAGCAAATGTAAACGTCTATTTGTAAATAATGCAGTAACTTTTACACAGAACACGAGGTTAAAATACGAAGCTTCAACATTTTCTAAACAGGTTAAGATTTTATAAATTAAATTTTTGCAGATTCAAAGATTTTTATGGAGGTTCAAATAATGAAGTTTCAACACATTAAGATAGTCACAGTTATAGTAGGCAAGACCTTAGCAAAAAATGATACGACGAAAGTCATTTCAATTGCGGACAAAGTTTTAAGAACAGACAATTTCAGATCATTAAAGAATATAACGAAACGCACAGCGCACGAAATTTGCAGTAAGTAATTTTTTAAATCTGTTTCTTAAAAGGATATCACAATTACATATAATATGTGATGAAAGGGTGAATTTTTAATTATTATTTGCTCTGATGAAAATTAAAAATCTAACTTACATATTTATAGATGAGAGAGAAAAAACCGATTCGAAATAAAAAAGGACAACAACTTCGGTAACGCAACGTACTACAAAACCTTCTACGACATCAAGACCTACAACGCCACCAACACCTCCAACGCCACCAACACCTCCAACGCCACCAACACCTCCAACGCCACCAACACCTCCAACGCCACCAACACCTCCAACGCCACCAACACCTCCAACGCCACCAACACCTCCAACGCCACCAACACCTCCAACGCCACCAACACCTCCAACGCCACCAACACCTCCAACGCCACCAACACCTCCAACGCCACCAACACCTCCAACGCCACCAACACCTCCAACGCCACCAACACCTCCAACGCCACCAACACCTCCAACGCCACCAACACCTCCAACGCCACCAACACCTCCAACGCCACCAACACCTCCAACGCCACCAACACCTCCAACGCCACTAACACCTCCAACGCCACCAACACCTCCAACGCCACCAACACCTCCAACGCCACCAACACCTCCAACGCCACCAACACCTCCAACGCCACCAACACCTCCAACGCCACCAACACCTCCAACGCCACCAACACCTCCAACGCCACCAACACCTCCAACGCCACCAACACCTCCAACGCCACCAACACCTCCAACGCCACCAACACCTCCAACGCCACCAACACCTCCAACGCCACCAACACCTCCAACGCCACCAACACCTCCAACGCCACCAACACCTCCAACGCCACCAACACCTCCAACGCCACCAACACCTCCAACGCCACCAACACCTCCAATGCCACCAACACCTCCAACGCCACCAACAACTCCAACGCCACCAACACCTCCAACGCCACCAACACCTCCAACGCCACCAACACCTCCAACGCCACCAACTAGTACTACTACAAGCTCAACAACTACCACATCAACAACAACTTCAACGACAACAATACCTTCAACGACACCAACTAGTAATACTGCAAACTCAATAACTACCACATCAACAACAACTTCAACTCCAAATACAACTACTAAACCTTCGACTATTTTTAGTACAACACGTACTACTCCTTCAACAAAAATCACCACAGTTACAACACTCCCAACACCATCAACAAGTACCACTTCAAGTTCAACAACTTCCACATCAACAACAACTTCAACTCCAACTACAACTACTAAGCCTTCCACTACTTCCACTACTTCTAGTACAACACGTACTACTCCTTCAACAAAATTGACCACCAGTACAGCACCTTCAACCACTACGAGCACAACTCGTGCAACAACAACCACAAAACTCACCACAACCTCTACACCAACCACAACTAAGCGCACAACACCAACCACAACAATAACTACTACTATACGCACAACACCTACAACGACGAAAACAACAACTACCCCGAAACGGACTACAACAACAACATGCAGAACAACTACGAGAAAATCAAATTCCAGGTCTAGTTGGTCCTGGTCTCGCAGTAGTAGTGGGTCTGATACCAGAAGACACCGCGGTCATCGATTTGGCTCACGAAGCCATGGAAGAAATAGCAGACGTGGATCAAGAAGCCATCGTAGTCACCAATTTGGATTTAATCGTCACCAAAGCCGGTCGGGTAATTCAAGAAGAAATCAAATACGTAGAGGAAATTCCAGATCTGATTCCAGTAGTCGCCCTGGTAACCGATTCGGTTCAAGAAGTCATAGAGGTAGTAGAACCGACTCAAGAAGCCTTTCCAAGAGTCATAGAAATAATATACCAACTTCTCGGACAAACAATAGAGTAAATCAAATACGTCGAGGAAATTCCAGATCTATTTCTAGAAGCCGTAACCCAAATCGCTTTGGGGTAAATCAATATCGTGGTAGCTTTTCAAGATCTGGACGTAGAGGACTTAGAGGCAAACGGTCGATTGAATCAACATCTCAAATACCTTGCACACACAAGCTACAACTGCTCTTCATCATTGACGTCAGCCCAAGCCTCACTAGCCCAGACTGTGCCCAGCTTCTTGTCTTTCTGGCAGATTTCCTCTCTGACTTTAAAATATCTAAGGACGCCGTTCAAGTCAGTTTGGTCTTCTCCGGTACTGAAGTCATCGAAATGTTTGGCTTTAACAAATATTTCCAGAACTCACAAGTCATTGAAGTAAGTTTATGAGATACATTTTAAGTATTATGTTTTTTCCTTCTCTGGCTTGACTGATTGTCCATTTTAAAAGTTTTTATTAAGTTCACAATGACCATTTGTTTGTGGATTTGTGGCAAATCTAGTAATTCAATTTAGCCCCTCTTCTTTTCCAACGATTTCAATGCTTTTATTATAGAAAGTATTTTTGTTCTATTTTCAGTGCACTTAAAAGCTTATTATTACAAAGGCGTTTTTTTTAAATACATTTCTCTCATTTAGTAATATCCATAATATTTTATTTTAGCAAATCGAACTACATGCTATCTAGTTACGGTCTACCCATTGAACAGGCTTTTTTGATGGCCCTTCCAACAAATTTTACTTTTTACGGCCTACTAAATTAGTTATCAATGTGTCAACACTTGGTCCTATATTGATTCTAGTGATTTTCGATCACACATTTTTATTCAGAAAACTAAAATTTTAAAAATATCCTAAACAACACAAAAGCAACATTTAGCTTAGTTTAATGATATGAATAGATTTGTTAGAAACAACACAGTTGTTTGTATTTGCGCCCAGTGGCGTAGCGAGGTCGGGTGTCACCCGGTGCGGCACTTAATGTGGTCACCCCCCAGAGGCGTAGCGACCCTTCACGGGGACAAACTTTCAAATTTTGGATTTGCACCCCCCCCCCCTCTCAAGTTTTCGATTTGCAATTTGCACCCCCCCCCCCACGCTCAAACTTCCGATTTGCACCCCACCCTGAAGTTTTTCTCTATATATTTTGCTATTTTTTGCCTTGTTGTCACCCCCCTAAATGGTGTCACCCGGTGCGGTCCGCACCCCCCCCCCCGCCCCCCCCCCCATCGCTACGCCTCTGTTTGCGCCAGTTGTCCTTGATAGTTTACTTATGAGGTTTACTATCTCAGGCAATACTCAGTACACCATGTCCAAGCTACAGCGGACTTCACAATACGTCAGAGGAGTTCAGATTTGCACGCCTCAAGTCTTTTGCGTCTACAGATGCGGATCAAAAGAAAGCTGTGATTTTCATAACAAACGCCACACCTAACTCGGGTAAGTCGTCGTGAATGTAAAATTATGAAACGGTTGCCTTTGAGATTCATAAAAAATGTAATTTTGATTGTGTTTACAAATCTATATATATATTTCTCTTCTGGGAGACGTTAGAAAACAAGCTGCAAGCGCGCCTTGCAGTCCCCTCTCTTCCTCTCTATCACTACCACCCCCACCCCCCACATGATCTGGTGAGCTGTGGTTCACTCTAAATGTTTACATTTTACAATCATAGAGCCGGGTTTAGTGACGGCTATTAGGGGCAGATAATTTAGTTTGAAACTATTTTAAACTTAGAGGAGGTAACAAAGAGGAGGCTGCTTTCACGGTGGGGGGGGGAGGGGTACAGGGTAGGGGGAAAGGGGGGGGGGGGTAGTGTTTTAAAGCAAATATTTTCAGTGGCAGCATTGGTACTGTCGAATTCACAAATTATGAATTACTGAAAAGTAGAAAATAAAACAACTAAATAGCGTATGTTATGCCGCGGGTCGGCTCGTTTGTTTATAAACTGTGTTAATGTTACTAGAATAACAATATGGAGAAAAAAATTCCATATTTTCTCCTTACAGACTCCACAGCTGTGCAGGAAGCCAAACTTCTCCAGGAGTCAGGTGTCAAGGTCATTACTGTTGGAGTAGGCGCCAGCGTGACGCATGACGCTCTGACGTCACTGAGCTCGTCGTCAAGTTTAGCCTTCACCGTGGAGAGTTACTCTCTCCTGGCTACTCTACGTAGTCTACTCTTTGCTACTACTTGCTATTAAAATTTCGAAGTAAGTTTTCTTCTTGCATATGCTGAGTCCATTAATTAATTTTTTGTTCTCTAACTAGAAAGGAAATAATTGGTAATGGATGGTCACATGACCTAAAAACTAAAAGTGCGTATGTCAAACTGTAATTGTCAATCGAAGTATTTAGATATGGTGTGGGAGGGTGGCATTTCATAGTTTTTAATACATTAGCTTGCAATAAACATAATTCTTCTATGTTTGTATTTTTTAAATAAAATACATTTCTTTTGTTTGTTTGTTTTTAATTAAAATATTTAGTTCGAGTTCAATTTTCTTTTCAGTCGGTGAAATTCTAATGTAGGTCTTCATTGCTTTGAAAAGCCCTAGAAATTTCCAATTGGCACATTAAAATTAAAATTATGTAAAATTCAAAAGAAAGGTAAAAATTAAAGATGCTTTGAAGATATAGTATTTTTGTGGTTTTTTTCTTCTTTTCTTACTAAAATGTTTCTTGGGGATTAAAGAATTATGTTTAGTAGTGGTACATATTTACTGATAGCATTGACACAGATCTCCAAACGCTAATGTGTAGCAATTCATCAATGTATCGTCGAAATGTGTACCATTAAACAGTCTAAGGTAACCTAGCACAGGGTGCCGTAAACTTAAATGTTTTTTCAGAGTGGAAACAATTCTTGTTAAATATCAATGACCCCTCAGATGTCAAGAAATTGAATTTGCAAATGAACTTTTTCACTTCATATAAAATTAAGTTAAACATTCAAGTTTACCGGTCTACTTTATTTTAGCATTCGAAATTCTTCTAGTAAATATTTTAACGATACTCGGCAGATGTAATTAATTTGGCATTAATTTTAATGGTATTTCGCCATACAAAATTTCGAAAATTCGAAAAAAAATAACTCTACAGTGTTTTCCGTTACAAAAACTACTACCCAGCTGAGGCTATTAGAGTTAGTAGAAGAAAGATCGATGTTTATATGGTCAATAAATATGTTAGTTTCTTAACTGTTAAACCTCTACAACAGGTTTTTTTTTTTAAGTTGGCAGCAGTTCCCATAGCAACCTACGTTCAGAAAATACGCTGATGCATGCAAATATTTTCCTTTAAGTATACTAACAGATACAAACAAATACACAAAGAATGCTCGTTAATTAATAAGTTTTATCTTTCCAGGGTTTATCCCCTTAAACTATAATCCCGTCTTTGTTTACATGAATAAACTACACACGTCGTATTTGCATAAAGTATCAAAAGACACGTTAAACCTTATATTTAACATCAGCAGACACAATAGAATCGATTACTTTGCCCTCTACCACAACCCACCTCTTCTGCCTACACAAAGCAAGCTGCGACATGGGATGAAAGAAGTTTTGAAATAAAAATGTCTGACTAAATTAATTTTCAATAAAATACGTCTTTAAAATTGAATTAAACCTAAACGAAAACCGTTTGTTTTAGTCTGGCTAGATACTGCCGCCCCGTCAAGATTCCTGTTTAAACAGGACATTTTATATCAATACACATGTTTAAAGCCATGTATCGTGAGTTATAACAATATATTATGAAATAATATACAACTCAATGTAGATAACAGGCAGGTGGCCAACTCACCTTTGCTTGTTTGCTGTTTGTTAGTAACAAATTATACCATTTCTGTTCATTTGCTGTTGGTATTTAAACAACTTTAGTTTGATACTGTTTGTGGCCTATTGAGCCAGTGTAAGTCTATTGCTTTTTACAAACACCAAGAACACACATATACCTCCTACACAAGTAAAATTCAAAGATCTTTTACAAAAATTCTAAAATATTGAAATTTAGACGTCCAAAATACCTAACTCAAAATCACAAAACAATGTAAAATAACAAACGATACCTTACTGTAAGTATCATAAGTATTTTCCTCTATTGTGAATTAATGTCCACAAAACCCATCAGACTTAAAACTAATAACCAAACTATAAAACCCTTCTAAACCGGGTTAAATAAACTGCATGCTATGAACGTTACTGACTTTAAATCTAAGGGCCCTCAACATTCCATACAATGCCTAATATAAAAGGAAATCGTAATTACATCTATTTTTTAATCCCCCAAAAAAATTCTTAATTAAGAATGCTAATGTAAGCACTCAAAATAGAATTACAATTTCAAAACGACACGCCCTAAATATTCTTTAAAAAGCATCCCTAAAAGTATTGCTCTGTCTT